CCAAAATTTTATTTGAAGTAACTTAATTATGTACATAGTTGTCCTTTTAAAATGTGCAAAGAAAATTTACCATTGTTAAAGCGAGACAACTCTTGTCAATTTGTATCCAACTTCAACCTTTTTACTGATGACTCGCAGGACTTTTGTACTATTTTCATATTTGTCGTACAGTCACTTCCTGTTGGACTATGCTATAAGGTTTTATAATACCCACTGACTGTGACTGAGCATGGTATTCTAAGCCAATTCAATGTCGAATATCAAGTAGTGTATGTAAGTAAGTAAGTAAGTAATTTTTATTGAAATAAAGTCCAAACATTGAACTATCATCAATTACAAAATGACCATATGGTGTATACTTTGCATGACATCGCCACAGGCGCTAGGGGAATGGACCCACCCTCTTTTTATTTTTTGTTTGTTTGTTATATAATACTGTTCTGGTTAAATCGTAAAAATAATTACAAGAATATGTTAAAAAGTAAGAAATAGTTAAAAGAGTAAAGGGTTCCACTGATTCTTCCCCCAAGCGCCTGTGGACATCACGGCATGTAACTTCTAATACAACATCGTCTATAAAGTCGCTAAAATACTATTGTTTTCAAACAATGGTAAATTAATTAACTGTAACTTTTGTCCTATCAATGTTGTGACTTTCAGTCCTGTGACTACCATGACTATATGTCTGTCCTCTTACACCCCTCCCTAAAGAAAACCCCTCACCAATGCCATACTTAATTTTATAGATGAGAGTCTGGATGAGGAGTCCTTCATTTCTTTATTCTTTAATTGTTTAGGTCATTTCTCTATTCTTTAAATTTTTTGCCCATTATTAAAATTGAGAATGGAAATGGGGAATGTGTCAAAGAGACAACAACCCGACCATAGAACAGACAACAGCAGAACGTCACCAACAGGTCTTCAATGCAGCAAGAAATTCCCGCACCCGGAGGCGTCCTTCTCTTTTCTGTATATTTTAGCATCCCATTATTCTACATTCTTTTTTCTCCTATTTTTCTCTATTCTTTTTTTTTTTGTCCATTTTTTTTTGCTGTTGTAAGGCCACTATTCTGTAAACCCCATCCAGACCCTCATATAATCAGCATCAGTTACATGTAATGACATTATCAACAGTCAACTGATTTTCATATTTTGGAAATTTAAAATGTCTGAGTTCCCAGAATTATCATGGGGGTGACTATATATTATCATATATAATACCTGGGAATAGTACAAGTCTCTGAGTACAAGTCTCTGAGTACAAGTCTCTGAGTAAAATAACTAGTCAATATATTATGTTGAGAAAAAAATACTATTTTCAAATTCCTGAACTATGAGGCCTGAAATTGCTTGTTTAAGTATTAAGTACCCTAGACTGATAAAGGTATTAAATAATTGAAATATTCTGAATACTGCTCACAGTCATATGACAGTACTTAAGGGTTTGTTATTTTTATATAGTATAATTTTAATCAAATTTAGGATCTTAGTGGAACTTGATGAGAAGTGCCATTGTATATTATACATATATAGATTCATATACATGATACATACATAAAACTATACATGATTGCTAATGAGATCATCCTTCAGGTGTATATTTAAGTATGTAATGAATAAGAAAAAAGTACCTGAAACAGGAATTATTTGAATCTGGAATAATTTTGAATTCTGGAAAATTGATAAGAAATGTATGATTAAAAACTATGCCAACTTTAGAGGGTTAATAGCCATGAGCACATGGCTAAGGTTCAAGTTACTTTCACTGATACTTCAGTGTGAACTAACTAACCCCCCCCCCCCCCCTTTTTAGGCATGTATGCATGGCTAACCCTCCTTAATTGGGTTAGTTTTCATCATACATTTCTTTCCAATTTTCAAGAATTCAAAATTATTCCAAATTCAAAATAATTCCTTGTTCTGACATCAATTATAACATGTTGCAGGTATTTATGTCTGCATGTTGTACTGAAGTTTCATATCGAACTCAAAACTTTTGAATGCCTTAAAGTATCATCCTTTTGGGTGTGTTTGAAATAAGGTTGAAATGTCTGTCTGCAAGGTCAAGGTCAATACTTTTTAATATCAGTGCAGAATTATTCTCAGGGCTGTTTTTGCACATGTTGGAGTACCACTAGGCTTTTACTTTTTCGTTTTATTATTGTTGTTATTTTTAGGACTTTAATATATTTAGATTGAGATTCATTAGGGAGCTACCATTTGATTTTTATGGGGGGGCTAGGATAAAAAATTTTGTCCTGCCTTTTTATTTTTCCCTCTATTCGGTCCTGCCTTTTTATTTTTCACTCTATTCGGTCCTGTCTTTTTTTTTTAGTTTATCCTGACTTTTTTTTTTACATAAATTGTCATCCTGCCTTTTTTTTTGGCAAATAATCTCATTTTTTTTTACTAAAAACTTCTGTCCTGCCTATTTTTTTCAAATTTCATCCTAGCCCTCCCATAAAAATCAAATGGTAGCTCCCTTATATAATAGATGGCTACTTCACATTTGTTAAAGCATTGATCATATATTGAGTGGGAGTACACCTCATCCAAAAAAGCGTGCTTGTTTAGTGCTTTTGTGTAAAAAAGAAACAACAAAAAAGATTTGCTTTCAGTGCATATACATTGTTATAATTTTACATTAAAGAAACTTTTAATGATTTTTTTATTGATTTTTTTTTTATATTTATTATTTAGAAAAAAAGAAGGAGAAGTTAAGGATGATAATGAATTAAATTATCTATATATATGTTGATATAGCTTCAGAGGTATAGTATAGGCAGCATCGTAGGACTGTCTCTGATTCATTGAGTTGTAAAGGAATTTACTTTTATGTCACCATCATTACTGATAAAAAATACATACACCAAATGTTATTATTCCTGACACTATGAAAAAATGTTTTTAAAAAGAAGAATACATTTGAAAAATAACTGTTTGTGGTGGTGCACATTACAAACATTTAAAAAATGAATAAAGAATAATATCTTAAAACAAGGTTAAAGTACATTTGGTCATTAAGATTACAATTGATACTGTGGTACATTGTATAGTACATAAATAACAAAGTTTGGCGGTAAAAAGCAAATTATTGAAACAGATCATGTTAGTCCTTGTTCACATTTTAAATGGTTTTGTCTATTAAGGGTATTATCTGGTACAAAAGATTGTTTTAATCTCAGTTAAATCTAACTTGTCGCATGCCTCATAACAATATATTACTACATTGTATGGTATTTCTCATTTTATTGCTTTCTTTGTTTTAATAGGATATGTTCAAATGATATTGTTTCTTTGTTAAAACATCGTTATATTTGTTCATTAGTTATAAAGTACAAAGACAATGAAAGACTGAAGACAGAAGATTATTAGAAAAAAAGAAGAAGCATACAGGAAAATAAACAGCTTTTAACAGGTCAGTTAATTATTTACAACTTTGCACACACATGATGTAATGTACACATGCTTATAAACTTTCAGTCTATAAAAGCATAGTGTCTGACATTTTGAATTTTGCTCTAACAACTCATTATCTCTATTGAAATTTAGGGGATACCATGACAATACAATTAATTTAGATTGGAAAAATACATAAAATGTGCATTAAAATTTCATAATGAAAAACTAGGAAGCAATGTGAAACTGAAAATCTCAGTTAATGTAAATTATGCATACAATAATTTTAATCTTACTTCATTTTATATGCTGTTTTTTTTATGCTAAAATATTTGATGGCATTTTTTAGCTCATCAGGCCAAGAAGGCCATTTGAGCTATTGCCATCACTAGGCATTGTTCATTGCGGTCGTGAACTTTTACAAAAATTTTCTTTTCTGAAAGTTTTGACTAATTTACCAGTGTTTGCCTATTATCTTGAAAACTATCATAGATAGGAAGAAACTTTGAACAGAAAAATGATCAGCTATACTGGATCTACCATAAAGATAATTTTATCATGAATTATATGCTAGATTTTAATTTTGGAGAGTGTCCATTGTTGAAGATGAACATAGATCCAGGTAAGAGACTTGTTTATTGAGTCAAAATATCTGGTCATAAGTGAACATATTATAACACCAATCAATGTTGTACTATTAAATCTTGAAATAAGGCAATTTCAAAAATTTCACTATAATTTATCAATTATCATCTTGAATTTTTGATGGGAATTGGCAATTAAAAGATATGGAAAATGAAAGTGATAATTGTTCTAAAATTAGGTTTCTGTATCCACAATCTGGATTTAGATTGTTTTTCAATTTTTCATTTTTTTGTTGTTCTGTTCAGTGATACTTTAATGGCGAATTCAAAAGAAATCCAATATGGTCCCGATGCAAATTAACATACAACCTTCATTTTGCCACATTATTACATAATATATATCATATAATACTTTTTAAAGAGAATAAAGCTTAATTGACCTTGAAGAAACACTGCATAGAAAGGGAGGAAGTTAGGATTTGGAAAAAGGTAACAGAATACATATAGGAATGACAAAAACTTTATATTTTGTATTCAATTTCATGCAAGAATAAAGGAATTTAATATCTGTGTCTTGAGTAAGAATAGTTTTGTATGATTATAAAAGAAGACAACACAATAAAATATTTAAGATTAACATTAAGATTTTTAAATAAATCACCCCAAATTGTTTAGTTTATGTTAGGATTATATGAAAACAAGTTTTAAACTAACGTGTCTGGCTATTTAATTCAAGGTGTGTAAAGTATCAACTAGTTTTATATTCTTATTATTTATTTATTTAAAGGAAAAATATTTGTTTTATTTTGGTATGTAGGTTTAGTCCAGTTCTCATATATGATAGGATTAAATTTTTTCATAAATTTTGCACTTGTTTGTTTTCTTTTTTGAATGATAAGTCACTGGTGTTTATTTCATATACGGTAGGTTATGACACAAAAAGATCCAGTTGAAACTAACCTAACGTATATATAAAATTCCACCTTTCAGCATGATTTTTACACAATAAACATCGACCCATTTATTGAATGCCACTCATTTGGAACAAATGATCAATGAATTGGATTTTAAAAGTAAATGTTATTTTTGATTAGTACTTCATAATGAAGTTGTTTGACTGGTAAGGTGGCTTTGGCCAGCTATGACACCTGACCTATGATTTTTGGTTATGTCGGTATGGATTTAAACTGATAGGATACCAAACCTTTAATTTATTGGTATTGCTGTATGGATTTGCTGTGTGATTAGGCATCTTTGGTAAGCAACAGAATTTGCTATTTAAGTTGCATTGTTTAATTTAGGTTTTTAAATTTATTATATAACGGTACTTCATTTAACTATATTTTAGGAAGCAAAAAATGCTGATGACTTGATGATTGGTGTACTGTTACTTCAGCATTATTTTCAAAACAAAAGAAATAGTTTGACATTAGTACATTTTAAAGTTTTTTTTATGTTTTACCTAGATTAGTAGCAGACATAAGGTTTTTCCAATCTATGCTTATGTCTCTCCGTTTCTGATTCCCACATCAGGTTAAAGTTTTGGTTTAGGGTAGTTAAACATAAAGTTGAGGCCACTTCAACTTGAAACAGTATACTATATGTTCATTTTATATGAAATTTTTTGTTTTAAGATATATGCCAAATTAAGGTTTTGACCCAAATTTTGCTGTTCCCAGAATATAAATAGGTGACAATGTGAGCCAGGCATGGTGTCCTATGGACACATATTCTTGTTTACTTCCTTTAACTTATAATGCTATTTGTGTATTAAACTCAATCAGCAACATTTTCAATTTTTTATTTTCATGGTATTTTTATAGATTTTTACCCTGGTGCTCAAGTAACTTGAGAAGCTATTCATTGGGCTGAAACTGATAAGAAATTTTGCAAGGAATTTATAAAGGCTATATTATTTTGATTTACTGTACCACATTAATTACCTGACACATAAGTTACTTATTAATTAAAATAGGATTAAACAGTTTAATATGCCTCTTAAAATGCCAAAGGTAATTTAATTTCTGAGTTAAATGGAGAAACTATACTACTTGATAATTTGAAAGTATTAACTTCTAAAAGAAATCATGACTAAAGTTCTTTAGACTAGGTCATTTGATATAAGACTTTTCAAAGACAGATTAAGGTATTTAGGAATAATGATGTATTAATTATCCTAATTGAAGTATTAGTGAAATTTAGTTTGAAGGTCTGTCACCCATGTGAATTTAACTTTCCTTACTTGTCACATACCAAATTCCTACTTTCATTCTTAATATTTTTAAAGTTCTTGTCCACCAATCAAATCTCATTGAAATAAATGTTATTATACATTGTTTTTCGTTGACTCTTCAAAATAAACTTGATACAAATATGTACTTTATAAGCTTTTGGAATTAATTAAACATAAGAAGATATTTGTAAGCTGATGTAAAGTTTTTTAATAATATCAAATGATTATTGAAACTTTGAAAAAAACTTTAATTCAAAAGAATACATCTGGATGTTTATTTGCCCAATTGACGAAATTATAAGCAGTAGTTTTATCTATACTTAACGAAGGTAGCGGTAAATGTTATGTGCTACCTGAGTGACATCCCCTAGATCAGCCTTTCAATCAAATTTATCTGCAACATAAGACATACAAAATAACCAATATGACTGAAACCATCAACTGACTTCCTACAATGAATGACAAACTTTGATCAATTTTACCATTTTTTGAATTTTATCTTGAAAACTACGGAAGTTAAAAAGAAACTGTTAAGCTGCAAAAATTATAGCCAATACCTAATCTACAAAAATTCTAGTTGCACTTAAACCATAAAGCGACTTTTTTGCAGTAAATATTACCTTGAAATTATTGATTTTACCATTGTTTATAGCATAATCTTAAAAAAAGTATAATAGATGCACAGAAACTGCGTATTTATAGCAATAATAATTATCAATACAAAATCTACTAAGTTGTCTATTAATTAAAACCATCAGTTGATTTCTTACAAGAGTTATTGCCCTTAACATTTTTTTACCACTTTTAAGGATTTTGCCTATACTTGAAACCCAGAAAAGATAGACAGACACTATATACAGCAAACCATGAAAGCAAAACTGTCCACAGTGTATTTCTTATTGTTAACATTTGATTTGTACAAAGGAGTAGGTTCAGTAAGACCCCTTTTTGGCCCCAAAATATAGCAGTTTTACAAAATTGTTAAAATGTAAACTTTTAGCTATTCATTTGAAAGTAGAATACTTCTGTTACATACATATGGACTGTTTTTGATAATACAGTGCATATTTATCGGGTACTAGCATCATTAAGTCATGCTAAATTACTGAAATCTTCATAATTTTAGCATTTGAGTTAATTTTTAGATGGTTTCCGTCTTAAATGGACGTGGCCGCATTTGTGTTCATTCTTAATATTTAAATGTTAGTTGTATTTGATGATAGTACATAACATATATAAAGGTTGAGGATGAACACGGATGCGGCCACTTTCATTTTTGACAAAAACCATCTGAAAAGTGAAATATTATGGCATATTTGATAGATTTATAACATTTAAGCTTGAATATGAGCGTTTTTAATGACTAAATCAGTTCAAATCTTTCACATAGATAAATTGATTCTACTAAAGTAGACACTTAAGTGTTTAAAAAGTGTCCAAAATCTTTCATCAGATGAACCTGAAATTTGGGGCCAAAATCGGCCCTTACCGGACCTACTCCTTTGTGTTTTTGTTCTCTGTTATACTAATGTTAAGTGCTTGGAAATTTTTAAATATTTTTTATCCTGATTTTTATATTTCCCTAACAATGCACTGATGAAGAAAAACGACAAGTTATTTGCCTTCAACATACTAAAATGGCTGTATTATTCAAAAATAAATAATTTGTTCCATTGAAATAATTGTTGATTCCCTAGTTTAAAGTAAAATATTATTTTTAATTTTTGCCTCTGACTGTGATTCATTTCAAAGAGCTTATTATTGATTATGAGACACCATTGTTTAAATAGCACATTGTTAAATCACTTGTTTTAAAATCAATTTATGCCAATAGCTGATTAAATGGATTCATATTCTCAACATGCATATAGCATATATATATAAACAGGGTACTATGGTGAAATAGATGTAAAACGTATATGCAGGCAAAAGAATAGTTGTCAAATACTTTGGATGTTACCAATCTTTAATGCCAAAATGATCACTCATTCATATCATGATCAGAGATTACTTAGGATGTTAGCATCTGGCATAGAATTAGCTTGCTGCTTTTCTGCAATTTAAACATATTTTATTTGCTTAAATATGCAAAAGATTTCTGTTTGATGTCAAGGTCAGAGGCTAGAAGGTCATCTTAAAATGTTTTGAATAGATCAATAATATGAATAAGACATTGCTCAGCATTTGTGTGCTTTTCAAAAAAAAAACACACCAAGCCAAGATATTGGATACTGAGACGGACTTTGAGAACACCAAAAACTTCATAAACATCAATCATTTAATGCTCTGATGGTCTGAAAAGAACATTAGGAAAAGAAAATGGCAACAACACTGAGAATGTTCTTTTTTCAAAATCATTTCTAGAGTTTTGTTATCATTTTTATTTTTTTCTTTATGCGTTTCTTCACACAAGTAGCTGTATATGGGCTCACTTTGTTTGCAATGGCTTTAGTGCTTGCTATAAGACAAAACTATCAATGATAGATGAAGGCCATATGATGAAGACATAATCTTTTAATCAGTTTAATTGAGGTCTGGAGCTGGCATGTCAGTAACTGCTAGTAGTCCTTTGTTCATTTATGTATCATTGTCATTTTCCTTAGTTTCTTTTGTTACCTATTCTGACATCGGACTCAGACTTCTTTTAAACTGAGTTTTACTGTGCGTATTGCTATGTGTTTCTTTTTTCTACATTGACTAGAGGTATAGAGGGAGGGTTGAGATCTCACAAAACATGTTTAACCCCGCCGCATTTTTGCGCCTGTCCCAAGTCAGGAGCCTCTGGCCTTTGTTAGTCTTGTATGTTTTTTAATTTTAGTTCATTTATATGTTTTGGAGTTTAGTGTGACGTCCATTTTCACTGAACTAGCACACAATTTTATTTAGGGGCCAGCTGAGGACCACCTCTGGGTGCGGGATTTTCTCGCTGCATTGAAGACCCATTGGTGGCCTTTGGCTGTTGTCTGCTCTTTGGTCGGGTTGTTGTCTCTTTGACATATTCCTTATTTCCATTCTCAATTTTATTCTATGAACCACAATTACAAATTTATTGTTTGATATTTATGGTTTCAATTTCTGAAAAACAGACAAATGTTTAAAACTCTCATATAGTAATTATTTATGTTGTAAATAGTATGAATGTATACCGTGTTTTAAATGTTTAAAAGAAAATAACAAAGGCTTCAAGTTTCTATTGTTCTGTTTCTTTCATGTTTCTCTGTTGTGTTTTTTTGGCCTAGTTTCTTAATTATAGGATATAGTGTGTAAATTGTTTATTTTGAGGTATTGTCAGGATTGTATGTATCTTTATATTGGAAGCAAACAAATTGTGCTCTATTCACACATGAATAGAAGGTGTTGGACTTTCAAAAAACATATTGACAGATTGAACAAAATTAGGGGATATAGTTAAACAAAACAAAAATTGAAACTAATTTTGACTTTTGATCTTTTGTGTTGAGTAATGTTTTCTTCATTATTTAATTTGGAATTTTTCCAATGGAATAGTGTTTTGCATTCTTCGCGAAGCATTGATAAAGCAATGATTCACACAGAGATATAATATGCATGTTCATATATTACAATAAAGAAAAATAATTGCTATATACCCTGAAAACAAAATTTGAAGGGGACATATTTATATAAATGATATCAAGTATAGTATTCATCTCTCTATCTATTCGCTCTTTCATATGTTGTAAATTCCATAACACAGTTCAAGTCAAAATACACTTATTATTTGGGCATAATTAACTAATTGTCGTATCTTGAAGATCAATTGTACAGCCAATGCATTTATTTAGGCTCCATATTTATGTACAATATTTGCATCAATTGTATCCACCAAGTGGTTATTGTAACTAAAGGCTTTTGTGTAATTATCTTCTACCAAATTCTTATGTCAAAGATAAGGTCACAGTCAATCCTTATAAATATATTTACCACTTTAAGTAAGCCAGGGGTATAGAAATTGGTCCCAATTTCTCTTTCTGAGCTGTATGACTCATCAGTAAGGGACATCCTT